ATCTTGATTTGTTAGTCCTAGACCAGAAAATAACATTTTCAGTCAAATAATACTCCTATATTTCTATGTAAATTTGCATCTTTACTGTAAAATGTAACAATAACTAAATTAAATTAATATCATCTCCCCCTCCAAAACCCCCCACCCAAACAAGGGCCTAAATTCTCACATAACCTGCATTGCAAATTACAGCACCTTTATATTCCTCTCTTTCTAGGCACGCGAATGTATCTCTAGAGATGCTATTGAAGCTTGTGGCAATCTTCGGTCCATTAGTCCGATCAGCTGTTTCAGCACGTCCATCTGTAGGGGTTGATCTTCATGCAGAGGAAAGGTTTGTCCATCTCTACTAAGATACACATGTTCTTCGCGTGCTTTCCTATTACTGTGTGGATGAATGCAAGGAAGGATTCTAAGTTTTGGCATTGACAGAATTGAGTGCTGCAGACAGTGCTTAGCGCATCTCCAAGTTATCCAAAACAGTATTCCGACGCTTGTGCAGTAAGTCTCATCTTTGCATCATTATGTGTTCATAATCCGCAGGACACTTTCTTGGCTTGGAAATTTCACAAAAACTGACGTTTCCAACTGCACGAAACCATTGTTTATTTCATTACTAAGGGAAGACACATTTTTAAGACATGGAATTTCTATTCACATCTGCACAGCCTAATCGTTGATCCCTTTTCCACCAAGTCTGATTTTTTTTAAATGGGTTGCAACAAACTGGGTTTATCATGCATTGATGAATTTGTCCGTTTTCACGCAAAAATGTTATGCAGGAGAGGAGGCTTGCTGGCAAGATCTGCACACCAGCTGAATCTTGTTCTTCAGCAATCATAAAAATGCAAGAGCTCACATTTCAGAAGAGGGGCACTCTACCCTACAATCATCTGGATTGGACATCACCACCGGTTTTCGTCCAACTTTTGCTACCCAAGTCCAGATTTCCTTTCGTCGTTAGTGCAGCAGCCATACAAGAAACTAAAGTGGCGCATGGAATCGGTGTTTTCGCAGAAGCAACACCACCTGGTAATGTGATTCCCCATTTTGTATGTAATTTATAGCAATCAAATTGTATGGGATGTAGCCCTCTGCGAAAAAGAAAAAAAATAATCAATGAGAGATGTATACATGTACCTCAGTTGTTAGATGATTCTCCCATTAATGGTTTTCCTAATATAAGGTGTATCCTAATTCCTAATATAACATCTTCACCTATTACAGGGTTCCACTGCATATAAGAATTTTTATAACTCCCTCCCTCCCAATTTTGCTGTAGGATTGTTTTTCTATTTTGTCCATAAAAACCTTAACCATTTTCTATTTTGTTCGTCAAAAAAAAAAAAAACTCCAATTTAAAAAGTTTATTAAAAATGCTATCTTGTCTTGTAGTATTGGAATCTTTTATTCGGAATAGTTTGTAAACAATTTCTTACAGGGATGTTTTAAATAAAACAAGTTAGAAGGTCAAACATAAAATTGCTAATTTTATAGAAATAAAAAACATACCCTCTCTGTCCTTAAAAGATTTTCTTCTTTTATTTTTTATAATAAAGAGTCTTTTTATTTTCTACTACGTATTAAAAAAATCATTTTACACTAACTAATTTTTACTTAAATATCATATCATATCATATCTATTCTTTCCCAACGATCTATCATACATTTATTTTTACCCAAAATTTGGGAAAGTCAACAAAAAAAATTATTGCTGCCGACTTGTGGGAGAATGAGGGGGGG